TAGACGTTGTGCAGCCAGGATAGCGGACGCGTCTGGCCTGATGTAGGCGGAGAAAGCCGAAGAGGACCAGCGCCCCAGCTGTTGCAGAGAGGTGTGCTCGTGTAGGGCAGGGGAGATGCTCCGGTGGAAAGTAGCGGCCACGGCCCGGCAACCCAATGGTCCTGGAAAAAAACCCCCAAAACCCACGGAAGGGGCACGTCCGTGTAGAAGCGGAGACCTGTAGGGGCAGAGACGTATCGGAGAGGGACATGAAGTTGCAGGCGCCCTCACGCTTAGAATCTTGGGTTGGAAAGTAGATAATCAGGATAGTAGGATGGTCGGGAAAAGCCGTGTCTCGGACCGCGTGAAGGTTGAGTGAGCAGTATTGAACGCTTATGCAGGGAAGCCATGGAAGGCGAGCAGGAAGATGCTGCGAGGAGGGCAGACATGTACTTGGAAGATGAGCCGGAGTTCAGTGCCGCTCAGAGCCGCTGCAGGATGGGCAGCATGATGGGGAGCCTGCGATCAGAAGAGCGAAGAATACAGGTATGGATGCCTTTGATTAGGAGTCCGATTGACGGCTCAGCGCAGCTACTCGGCCAGCTGCATCTGATAGAATCGGAAGATTAAGTAAAGAGATGAAGCATGACCGCCGAAGCGACCCTGGGAGCATAGGTGCGAGTCCAGCGCAGCGCGGCATACTCAGCCGGGCTGCATCCGTTAAAAGCAGGATAAGCTTCTGAGAGAGTGGGTTGCAGCAGTAGCAGTAGCAGTAGCAGCAGCGGCAGCAGCAGTAACCTCAAATAATAACGGCAACGACCTGTATCAGCCGCGGCAGCAGCAGCTGCAGCATCCATAGATAATAACGGCAAAAACCCTGTATCAAAGCCACGGCATTAGAATATGTTGTAGCTGTTTAGTGTTTTGTAAGAGAAGCGAAGTGAAGAGAGATGACGAAGTACATGAAGCAGCAGCAGCACGGCAGTAGTGGCAGTATGAAGCAGCAGCAGTAGCAGCAGTAGCGGTAGCAGTATGAAGCAGCAGAAGCAGGCAGCAGGGACAGACAGCAGCAGGAGCGGCAGCAGGAACAGGCAGCAGCAGGAGCGGCAGCAGGAACAGTGGCGGCGGGATCAGGCATCAGTAGGAACGGCAGCGGGGACCGGCAGCAGCGGCGGTCAGAGAACCATGCCCATGGTTGTTTAACAGCCTGAGGAAAAGAAAAAGAAAAACCGACCCGAATCCGAAACATCCCATGTGAATAACAGACGTCCCCTGGAGCCATCTGCTGCTTTGGTTATGGCAGATACGCATGAACGATCACTGATCCATGCGTTCATAGCTCCAAGACCACTTCACACCCATTGCAGAGTCATGTTGGGCCCTTTTTCTTTCTGCTGTACTTTCAAAATGCAACAACTGCAGTTAGTTACCCAATTAAATACCAGCGACCTAGCTATTTAAATGCATGGTTTTACTGCAAGTGGCAGAACATGAATCTGAATTAATGCACATAGCTCCTCGTATATCCCTCAGACGATAGAGATTGATGCCATTTAATATGCATTGCCCCTCAGTTAGCTCAAACACATGTGAAACGGAGCCTGCAGACCAAAGCACGGGGCAAAAAAACTGGCGCCTGCAGTCAAGTGCGCGGGGCAAAACCAATCGCCTGCAGCCCAAACTCCGGGATTAATCTGTCCGCGGTCGGCACACTCACTGTACTCACATGCCAGGAGACTTGGGAAAAGCAACGGGACAACGCGGCACCGCCAATCGAGGCAGGGACACGCACGGCACCGCCAGACCGTCTGCGTGCGGCAGCAGACCACAAGGAACGAGCAGCACAGACCCGCGGAGGGGCCCCGCGGAGCAGCCCGCAGAAGAGCCCGCAGAGGAGAGCAGTGGAGATATGCGAACCACAGCAGGTGCAGGGACGCGGAGGAGGAGCAGACCAGTGCAGGGACGCGAAGGAGGAGCAGACCAGTGCAGGGACGCGGAGGAGGAGCAGACCAGTGCAGGGACGCGAAGGAGGAGCAGACCAGTGCAGGGACGTGGAGGAGGAGCAGACCAGTGCAGGGACGCGGAGGCGGAGCAGACCACAAGCAGCCAGAGGGAGGACGCCAGGGACGCGCCGAGTAGCGTGAGTAGACGAAAACGATTCCTCCTAGACGATTCTTTGCAGGCTTCGAGAAGCTTGCAGGCTTCGAGAAGCTTGCAGGCTTCGAGAAGGCCGAGAATGGGAGTTCCTCCGCTTTTAAGCAGCTTGCCTGGCTGGACCGGTGATTGGAAGGGGCGTTTGCAGCGCGATAGGCTGGGGATGAGAACCGGCCTGGAGGGGTTACCTTTGGCTGACGTCTACCAAATTGAACTTTCGCTGGCTGCATTTCCTGTACACAAAGTGACTCCAAACGGTCCCTTTGGCCATTTGCAGCTTTCGCCTTTAATTTTCCGGAGGCCCAGTTTTATGGATTTGGACTTGGGTTGGCTCTTTCCGCGGACGCGATGCCAATATCACATGGAGAAATGAGCTCAGAGTTTTACTAACTTTCTAATTTGGACTTACAGTGAACTCCGGAATTGATCACGATTTGTTTGGCAAATCAGCCTCAGTAGTTATAACTCGAGTTGGCAGAACGAGGGGGAATCACACGGCTGTCAATAGAAGGTGACTATAAAGTTTCTCGCTTTCTGGAGGGATCTGGCTGTACAGATTTAGTCATTTAGTCATGAATCTAAAGTAGAAATTCAGACTGGAAGACAGGAAGAACTAAGCTCACGGCACTCAAAGTCCTCCCACTGTTGCTTCACGGCAACAGCATCAGTCAATCACACAAACACCGCCCACATCAAGCTTCCTATCGCGAGGAAGCTCCATCCAAGCAGCAGCTTCAATCATGCTGCAACCCTCCTCCTCCCTGTCTCTGCCTCGTTCCGGGCCAGCTCTTTCGACCCTCTCCTAGCTACCATCACCTAGGCCCATCTAGGCACCGGGGGATTTCATCTCATAATGTCTTTCCCCTTCTGCAATCGTGCAGTGCTCTGCTGGGGTCTGTTTGTTACATGAAATTGTGTTGTATGGGTTTTAATTGATTGATTTATATGGATTTCTTGTGAATGAGACAGTGTGTATTACTGAACAGCTACTACTCTAAATACACCAGAATTTTGCTCAAGGCTGATTTTCATCTATAGGCCAATGTTTTTTGGTGACAGGGTAAACCAGAACACCCAGAAGCAATATTGATAAGAAATAAACAAATCTGTTTGTCGCCGTTACACTATAATATTCTAGAGATGTATAATATTGCTTTTTCTATTAATTCTATTCTATTAATTTTATGAAATGATACTAAGCTTATGTGTTTCTGTAGGATCATGTTATCAGTAGCTTCCTGCTTGTCTCTATGGAAACGTTAAAGTTAAATGCATGTAAAATGTGTGTTAATGTATTACCACAAGGGATATCACTTTTTTGGCAAAGCAAAAACCTATATATAACAAAGTAACACATCATTAGATTGAGAAAAGTTATGGAGAGACTACAAAACCCGTTATTTTTGGCCAAACCAATTCGAGAGTTTAATAATTTTTTTGTTACAGATGTTGTGCTTCTTAATGACTGAGCACTAAGTTAGAAAATAAAACAAAATCTTTGGAGTCACTCTAACCATCTAACTCATACATTTTGCATGTTAGTACATCTATCGCCCAGAAACTATATTTATGCATAACAGCATGTGTCTTTCTTTTCATCTTTATAAATATAATCAAAAATGTAGCTCCTAGAAAATGGGATTGGAGAAAGTGACCCCTGGATACTTTAAAGGTATTTGGAGAGATGTTTCTAGCAATTATAAATGTGATGTGTACACAAATAATTGATTATCTGCTTATGCTCAGTGGGCCATCGAGTCTGTTTGTGATTCCAGCAAAATGTCAGGACTTTTGGAGATATTTTTAAATATATTTTAAAGGAGACATTCCAAATCGATTTTTCAACGCTTTAGTGGTTTTCAGAGCAATGATTGTGTATTTGCTAAATTTATATTCCTTCTTTATCTCCTACAATGACTCCCATGGTCAGGCCCCCACAACAAGGCCACAGTTTATACTCACTTTGTTTGATTTGATTTTTTAACTTCTGATATGCAGATGTTTCAGAAAAGTTGCAGAATCATTTTTGAGCAAAGTGAATAGAATCCACTGGTCACCGACTTTATCTGTGGTTTGTGCAAAGACTGAAAGGATGCGACAAAGTTTCCGTTGCCGTCACGTAAAGGGGCAGAGCACAGAGCCATACGCTGGGACTGACTGAAAAGTGTGCAGACTAATTCTCATACAAAAGGAGTTCATATCAACTTTGAGATTTCACATGAGCTATGATAAGATTTTGTCATGAGGCTTTTGCACCACTGTGACCCAGTGCCTTTGGCGTGTCGGGCCCGGACAACAGCGGCAAGTTGTTTAGACCCGTTTCAGGAGACAGAAAAGTGTCAAAATAAGGGTCAATACAAAATCAGTTATCTAAAATCACACCAGAGTGCACACAGGAGTACCGCATTATGATACAGAGCAATATCATAATATCACATTTTTATTTGACTCCATCAGCATTAATGGAGTCAAATAAAAATGTGGAATCATACATTTTACAAGGAAAACACTAGATAGGGAAGAGCAGCACATACAAAAGCCAAAACTTGTCCGGTAAGCTTTACTTTGCTTGTCATTATGCTACATTTGTGTCCCTTGTGATGACCTACCCACACAGAAGCACAGGCTATGACACGATTTGCTTTTATTGCCGTCTAAATTATAGCTTTATTTAGACGGCAATTATTTTGAAGCCTAGGTCACGCGGCAGGTTAAATGCAGACTTGTTTTTTGCACACCAACCCATGCCACTCAGTGTGTAAGAAATAGGTGCCCTGGGGGGCACAGTGGAAATGACAGATAAAATGACGAAGGAGTTGTCAGTGTCAGAATATTACCTGTTTCCAACTTTGCAAATAGGGGTTTTGTTAAGTCTCATATATTCTGGTGTCTGTGTAGTTATAGAGTGAGGTGAGAGCATAACTATTGTTGCGGGCTGATTACATTGTAAGACAGTGGAGCATAAGATGGAATGACAATGTTGTTTGTGTTCAGTGTGTAGCGTGGGGATCCGACACTCACCCATTTGGTTCTTGTTCGGGAGGTAGTAGGCATTAAGGGCCTGAGGAGGGAGCAGCCACCTGAGGAGAGGGGAGAGCAGATAAGACACATCAAACAGAAGCACAAATCTCTATCACTGCTGTCCCAGAACAAACACATGGCTCACAATATCAATGAAGTTATACATATTTAAGGGGCAAGTTTTAAGAATGTTTCAACATAAAATGGTTTCTCTAACCCTAACCCTGATATTTGTCCACTCAAAGTTGTATTTGAGTGATTTAAGCACAATATTTCAATTGGGCAAATGAAGCGTAAGCGTCAATTCAGAGTGGGAGACCAAAAGAGACGACATGCCCACCATGGCTGCATTTAAACAGAGACCCTGCTGGTCGAGCAGCAACCCACCTCCTCCCCATCACCGCCTCTTCAGTAGACTCTGTCATGTCTTTGGCTCAGCCTTCTTCGCCACCCTGGTCTAGACCCCGGGGGTTCCCAAGCTCATAATTTCTGTTAAACTCCCCCCTGCATATGTCTTGCAGTATTCCTGCCGGGGTCGAATCGCCAAAGTACCCAATCAATGAGTCTGCTGGGTTTGATTGTCTATTCATGCACTATTGACAATAAAAATTCTACTGCAGTCTTTGTTTCGAGTCTTTCCAGATTGAAATATATATATACCAGTCATCTAAGCTTCCAACTGTTGTTCCTGGGAACACTGACAGACAAATCGAGACACAATACTGCATTTATGGTACAACTGCTCTGACGATCCCGATACATCATCATCCACTTTGCTTGTTGTTTTTGAGTTTATTTTTTATCAGTGAAATATAATTTGGGTTTGTCGTGCTGGCATTTTGGCACAAATGGCGGAGAAAAAAAGAAAATCTGCTGCTTGCAACCATAGACTGTATATAGATGGACAATGCTAACTCCCTAGCTCCATGGAACCAAATTTTGAGTTGTTTGTGAAATCTTGTTTTTTGCAGTCCTGCATTTGAGTCCTTCCTTTTGTTTTCGCCTCGTAACAAACAATTCACATTATTTTGAGCTGTGGAAAGTGAAACTATCTAATGTAGAAAAAAATCTATCTAATGTGAAAGGAATCCAGAATAAATCTTCAATATGAATCGTTTAATTGCAGTCCGTTCACAGACGTATCGATCACGGAGGAGAGGTGATGTCCTTGTTTTTGTGAAGCTGTGAGACGAATAGTGTTCTGTGGCTACAGCGAGATGGAGGCCAGACAAGCGCTTACACAGACAGGACTCTTTATTTACCTCCACAAGCACCAGGAAGACAAACTGAGGAGAGTTTGGTCGAATCAGGTGAGGACACAACTTCAGAGGAGCATAAAAAAACAGCTTTTCTAAATCGAAGATGTACAATTGCATGATTCCATTGAAATCTGAGAGCGTATATACATATTTGTGGGTAGCATGGGACTTTCTGAGTGGGGTTTGCATATTCTTCCTGCGTCTGCAAAGGTTTCCTCCAGGTGTTCCAGTTTCCCCTACCATTAAAAACATGTACAATAGTCCCCCTTTCTCTGCGGTCAATCTGGAGTTTACCCCTCTCACCTCTTAACGGATCTGAATGGAGCAAATCCAGACCTTTGTACGAAATGAAATTAGTATGATGGTGTGGTAAGACCAGGCTAGAGCCGAACCAGAACGGATTGAAGAGCTAGCTTTACTATCGCATTCGCCGCCATTGCCAAACTATATCCCAAAAATTTGGCACAAATGTCACTCAGTGACGTGCAGTCAGGGGAGGCAGGGGAGGCAGAGCCTCTCCTGCCATCATTGAAAAAATAATTATTAATATAGTCAAAATATATAATTGTTTTCCACTGTCCTATGCTTATAACGTATTTTCGGCCTGTTTCCGAACAGTTTTGATCATTTCTGTAGTCAAAATCGCTGAAATCCTATTTTTCCTATTCAAAGAGACGAGGTGAGGCAGCGCTCCTGCCTTCCCCCAGACCGCTCGCTCCCACTTAGTGTGTGTGTGTGAGTGCACTCAGCTCGTGCTCTTAATATATCCCTTTTTGTTTCAACATCCTGCTATGAAAACATTTGTTTAACTTGTCATAGTGTTTAGTAATGTATTGCACGTATTGTGTGTACTATATATAATTATTTGAAGTCTTGTGATCGGAGAAGAATACACATGGGAAATGCCTAGCGTGAGGCAGGCAGTGTCTGTGCCTCACCACTAGGGGTGATAGTGAGCATGAAGTTCTACCCGAGATGCTAACACAGACTGTAAATATTTTGCTAACCAACTCTCAGTCCTGTCGGTGCTATTTCTTTTGCTGGAAAATGGATAATTGGATTGAGGATTTGTTTCTCAACTGAACTTTCAATCAAAGCAAGAAGTGATATAGACAAGACCCCCGCTGGACTGACGAGGTTAGTCCGGCCGCGGGGGCGGAGTCTGTCTGTGTTTTATATTGAACATGTACTAGAGCTGCGTAAAAGTGCTTCCCCGAAAAACATTGATTTAACACTGCTCATAAGTTCTGCAACTGGTTTCATTCTTGTTTGTGTTCCTTGTGTTTATCTCTCTCTCCTAGCATCTCTCCCTTTCTCTCTCTCCTTGCATCTCTCTCTCTCTCTCCTAGCGTCTCTCTCTTTCGCTCCTTGCGTCTCTCTCTCTCCTAGCGTCTCTCTCTCTCGCTCCTTGCGTCTCTCTCGCTCCTTGCGTCTCTCTCTCTCCTAGCGTCTCTCTCTCTCGCTCCTTGCGTCTCTCTCGCTCCTTGCGTCTCTCTCTCTCCTTGCGTCTCTCTCTCTCGCTCCTAGCGTCTCTCTCTCACCCTCTCTCCCTCCTCCCGTCTCTGGCACCTGTGCTTCGCAAAGACTTGGTTTGATGCAGAGCGGAGCCAGCGTCTAGAGCTGTTGTGGGATTTTAATAACATGCTAGTTCTTATCTTTACAGTATATAATGTTTGTGGACGTTTTTGCATTGACGATTTAATGCTACCTTATTAGAATAATGTTGGTAAATCTGACTGTTTAAAGTCAGTGCCTCCCCAATCACAAACGTCACCGCACGTCCCTGATGTCACTGACACCAACAATACCCGCCTCCCCTGCTCACTGAGTGGTCGGAGGGGATTGAACTGCAGCCACCAAGATCAGACCCAGACTTTGATTGATTGAAAACAAAACATATTTATATTTTACATGCTTCTAAACATGTCAAGAATCCCTTCTCTGAAACGGTGTCCCTTTAAAACCGCCTTCTTCTGTGAAAATTCTCACTCACACCAGGGACAACAGTAATGGCTTTGGCCTGGCCCTGTATTGCCTGGTAACAAAAAGCTCTCTGTTTCGTCTGAGAGTTCACTCAAACTATGACAGAGGCTGACCTCTTTTTCATGTCCTTGAATAAAATAAACCCTGTATAAAAGCAACAAAAATTTTTTTTTCTAAAAGATGGCCCTGGGTTTGATTACATTTCCCGGCCTTGCTGTGTGTAGTTTGTATGTTTTCCGTGTCTGTGTGGGTTTACTCCAGGTGCTCCGGCCAGTTCCCCGTATCGCTAAAATAATGTACAATAGCTCTGTGTGGTGTGAGAGAAAAATGCCCACAAAAATTGTAAAACTCATTGTGACACTGGTCTTAATATAAAGATTACTTAATTACTTACATTGACATAAATATATTTTTGCCTCTTTCTCATTTTTTAACGAACAGAACAGTGAAAAAGAAAGGACCCCCCCCTCACTCAGCCAATCAGTTTCAAATAGTGATTCACAGGGTTCTTTCTTAGAAGCATACACAAACATAATACATTTAATAAGATACAGACGCAATGGTGGTCCAATCTTTCTCAAAATAGTATTAATGAAAGAAAGTTAGGTACCCCAGCTTTAAACAAAATCAGGAATACTGTTGTTTCAGTGTCAGGTTTGAGGCTTACATGGTTTTGTCGACCTCTTCGTGGATCTTCTTCACTGATAACTTGATGTTGAACTTGATGCTGTTCAGGATGTTTTTGAAGTAGGTTTTCTCGTCCACGTCAAACTGTCAAAATGAAAGAAAATGAATAAACAGGATTATTAGCGATTAGTCATGTATCAAAAGAGTTTACACAAAAAGGCAAAGTTCATCAACAAAACAAAAATCTAAAATCTCCTCCAAAAGTCCATGTAGTTTTGTTACTCAACCTAAAATGTGAAACTCATATATGGCTCACAGATTCTAAAAAATCCCCACTAAAACAACTCTGGAAGTATAATGTAAAAAGGAAAATCAAGGAGCCACAATCATTGAAAGGATCGGTAAACGTCACTTTGGTTGTAATGAATCTATATCAATATTTTGGTTTCACATTGTAAGTCAAATTACAGAAATAAATGAACTTGGGAAAAATATTTTAATTTCACTGTATAGTCCTTTTTCCAATGTAGGTAAAGCATACAGTATATCTATCAGGACTGGACTGGACTGGATCTATCGGCAATAGTGTGGGAAATAACCGGGACAATCTTTGGAGACCTCGACTTGTTTCATGATATGAAATATTTTTTCCCATCCATCCATTTTCCTCCCCTTGATCCATTTCTGGGTCGGGGGGGTGGCAGTCAGAGCTGCACCCAGTACACACAGCACCAGCCCCTCACTGATCCTCGTGCAGGTGGTGAGTCCACAGGATCTTTAGGCAGGGGCTTCAGGCAAAGTGGGGTTAAGTGTCTTGCCCAACGACACAATGACAGCAGACATCAGTGGGAGTCGCAAAGTAGGTCTTGAAGTGGGCTCAAACCCACAACCTTCAGGCCCAAAGGCCAATGCTCTACCATCTGAGCCACTGTCGCCCCTGAAATTAATTAATAGATTTTTTTTTTTCATTTTTAACATTTTTAGACACTTCCTGTCTTTTTTGCACAATCTGAGTGATTCTATCGATGCCAAATGTGACCTGTACATTTCTCCATTGTGAGATCAATAAAGTTGATCTCATCTTAAATTAAATGACAAAACAGCACATATTTCATTTGTCTGTTAGAGATTGCAGTCGCATTGTTTTAAACGATGACACAGATTTAGAAGATATGTTGCTAAAGGCAGAGTGTAGTTCTTGTATAAGCCCTGGGCAGCTGCTGACACAATGAGGTTACAACTGCATTTATATTTGAGGATGTGCAATAATTATTTAAATCTCAATACTAGCGTTAACTGGTGCCCCGCTCTAGCCTGGTCACACCATACCATACTCATTTCACATGTGGGGAAATTATAATTGACCAGAGTTTACAGATGGCTAAACCCAGGCTAGCTCCGCTCAAAAAAGAGGGCTGTGAGCGGTGAGCTACCTCTTAAGAGTCTTGATTGACTCTAAGAGCTCAATCAAGACTCTGAAAGCTGAAAAACCATGTTCCAGCTTCTTCCCTCTGGCAGACTATCTCCCGGTATCAGTTTGAACAAAGTACTAGTTTGTAATGATTTTGCACTTGTTATTAAAACTGTTTTTTTAAGGCAAGGCAAGTTTATTTGTATAGTACAATTTATACACAAGGCAACTCAAAGTGCTGAACCAAACAAGATAGAATTACAATTGTAAATAATCACAGTAAATTAAAAAGAAAGTAAAACCCCCCTTTTTAACCTGGTTTTAAATATTGTCAGAGAGGAGGCCTGTCTCACATGTTCAGGAAGATTGTTCCAGATTTTAGCAACATGATTCTGAAATGCAGCCTCCACTATTGATTGGTTTCACAGGGACAATTGTTTATTGTACTTTTAGCTTGTGGTTTTTCATGCCTTGTGCACACTGGGGTATTTTTGCACACATATTTAATTTGAGATTATTTAAAAAAAACAATAAAGAGGTTTACATATTACTCCTTTAGGGATAATTGCGGAAATACTGGTTTGGAAAACAACGGAAGCTTATTGCATTCACTTGAATTAAAACAGTTTTTATGAGTAAAGTTTCAGTTTTTATGAAACAAATAAATCCTGTTTTTACGAGTCAAATAAATCCTCTGTGTAGTGACCTGACCAGTGTGATCAGCTTGGTGTAGAGTGCAATGACTCAGTTATTCAATTGAATCCGCTTCTTTTTTTTAATTAAAGTACTTATTATATTTAATTAACTATTTAATGTGTCACTCCGACTATATGTGGTGGTAGATTTTCTTTTTGTAGAAATACATTTCAAAACTGATTGTAGCGCGCCCCCTAGTGTTTGACGTAAAGAGAGATTATTTGTTTGAAATTACATATATATGTAAAATTGTTTGAAATATGTAATTTCAAACAAATAATCTCTCTTTACGTCAAACACTAGGGGGCGCGCTGCCACCTTGAATATCGCCAGTAATAATAATAAAAACAGGATTTTTTTTACCTCTTAACAGCAAAACAATAAAAAAAAAAAAAATCTGCTGGCAATAGCAGATGTATTTTGAACACCAAACCCCAAAAGCTGTATATCATTTTAAAGCTTATTTTCTTATCTACATTTATATACAAGTGTAAACTACATCAGACTTTGCATTAAAAATATATAACACATAATATGGGCACAAAATAAATCACTTCCGAAAAAGTTTTTTACCTTTGGGCTTGTGCTGCATAAATAAATCAGATCTCCTCCCAGCTTCCAATACCTCTTTCACTCCGTAGCTGTCCATTGAAAAATAATATCCACTTTGTTTTTCACCCAAACCCATAGTATCCACGTGTTCCCCAGCTCGTCAGCTCCAAAATGAGACCTTCCATGAAGAGCTACGAGCTTGTTTACGTCTGCAACAGGCCCGTGAGTACAGCTAGTGGCTGCTTTGTGCTTATGGGTGACTGAGCTTTGTTGTCTTTCGGACTGCTTGGTACTGTATCTGTTTCCTGGCCAAATGATTGACATGTAGCCAATGAGGAAAGCTTTCTAGCAAGGGGTGGGACAAAGGTGTACTGTCTTAGTTTGTGTCAGTGTGCAGTCAAAAGACGCTTTCGAAGCTGCAATGAATTTACACTCATAAAAAATCAACTTTGACATTAAAAAATAAATAAAAATCACATAGATTGGTAACTTATAAGTACCAATAATGAAAAATATGGTGTTTATGATGATGAAATATCAGTAAAGCAATTTGGCACAATTGATGAAAAGGAGAAACTGCATAGAAACTATAAAACTTAGAAGTCTGAAACTTTAGGCAGTTGTTGTCAACAACACAATGACCATAGGGTTTGAATATTGTGAACTTACAATGAAGTATGCCTTTTTTAGGGCCTTTAGAAATTGAAAATTTTAGGCGAGGCTAAAAAAATAGTTTTTTTTCCCCAAACTTCAAAGGATGCAGAGTGAAATAGGAATGACAAACATTATTTTAGTATATATTTACATAAACAAGAAGGCTCTAGCTTTAATATGATGCATCACACAAACATGTGAGATGTAAGATGTGTTTTTAAATAAGCAAAGACATTTGGGTATGGCAAACTTTTGTGCACAAGCCAAAATGAGGCGGGCGTTAACTCAAACAGGATTTATTTGTCTCGTAAAAACTCATAAAAACAGAAACTTTTTTTAATTTAAGTGAATGCAAAAAGCTTCCGTAGAAAACAACACAAAAGTATAAAAAAAGTTGCACTGCAGAAAAGAACATGTTTTTGTCCATAGCTCCGTGGACAAACACAACACTGTGGACCTTCACTTAGTTATAAGTATACATACAAATAATCGTAAACACAATTCAAATAAATGTTCAATGGAAATGATGAACATTGTGAACATCGTGTTTTCATTTTAAATAATGATGAGACATAATACAAGAACCCTTATTCATCCCACAGTTGGGATATTTCAGTCGATATGCAGCGCAACAGGCTCCCGGCTCCCACCAGCACCGGAAGAATAATGTATACGAGAAGAGATGAATACAAGAAAAGGCACCGGAAATTCAGATTTAAAAAATGCACATATTGTTCAAATATTCTCATATTGATACTCTGATACAATGTAAATGTGTCTGTGTCTCTGTATGACCCAGCGATTTCGCCCAATGCTCTTTTGCTCGACTCATTCTCAACTCAATCAGCTCTACACTGCAAAAAGTGATGTAAAAAAAGTCATAAAAGGCTCAAATTTGGCTAAATGTGTCTTTTTTTGACTGCCTTTAAACAAGATTTGCCGATGGGACAACGCAAAAAGATCTTGTTTTAAAAATATACAAGAAATGTCTCACTTGGAGATTTTTTTTTTGCAGTTCTCTAAATGGCTTTGTCCCATTGGTAAATCTTGTTTTAAGTCAGAATCCAATCCACTTTATTTTTATAGCACATTTAATAAGTTTCCAAAGTGCTGCACAGAGATAACACATTTAAACATACAGGTTTTCCAGCTTTGTATGTTTTAAGAAAATAGAAGTAAAACATTATGGACAAAGGAAAAACAAGACAAATGTAAAAACAATACAATACCAGTTAACAAAAAAAATGTGATAAAAACAATAAAATACTAGTTAAAACCAAACCAAACGAACAAAAAGAGGACCACGCCACTCACACGGTAAAAATGCGTCTGTACTCAAAATTGCGAATGTATTGAAAGTAACTGAAAAACTACTTGAATTAAGCCTTTATTACCACATGTGTTATCTCTTTTTGCAGTGTACCACTCCGCTGCCAAACGGTGTCCTTAATTATCACCCAAACCCAAGGTCAGCCCGCACAAAAAGCGGTTCATCTTTTCATCTTGTGTGTTGTATTTACTCTGTGACTTTTTGGAAAGATCTATTATAGCCGGAGCTGAATGCAATCACCAAAGCAGGGATGATAATGGGGCATAAAGCTCTCCACACACAGAGAAGAAAGAAGAAGAAGAAGAAGACTATGCCCTGCAGAAGTATTGGAGGAGGAGGAGGAGGAGGAAGAAGAGGAGGAAGAGGAGGAGGCTGCGGTCTGACTCACCCCATATTCTTGATCTATGAGTTCAGGCTTGAGCAGGAAGTCTGGGTATCCGGTCATCACCATCATGTGTTTGAGCTGCAGGGAGAGAAAGACGGGAGACGTGGACACTCGTAAACTCGGACCGGACAAAAATAATGCACGTTTATGGTTTTGAAAAGGTCAGATCGAAATCTATGAGCTGGATACAAGCAAAGGGGGGTATGGAGAGTTTTAGGATTCAGTTCTGTGGTTGGTTTTGTATCTTGTGTTGGTAACTTAATTGCAGGAAGTTTTTACATACATTTTTGTTGAGGTGTACAGCAGTTTCTTTCCCTGGTGTTTGTTCTATGTATTTTTGCGTCCGGCAAGGAGGTATAGTGATGATTGTTGACCCAGGAGAGCCATAAGTCAATAAGTTTTGGTAGGATTTAAACACTATTTTAAAGAAACATGCACAATGGCTTATAAGAAGTGAATCGATTTTGAACGCGATCCGAGTCAACGATGAACGATTTTTTAGGGGGTGGTCTGCGCTCTACAACTGGTTCTCTCTTCTGACAAGGTTCTACTTCTACTCCTTATGGATAAGAATACCCCCCTTTGTGGCCAGGACTCTGAAATCTCACTGGGACTTTTCCTTTTGCATTCGTCACAAGAAGTAAAAGAAAATAAAAAATACCCCAAAAAGCACTCATCGAGCACAGATCATGCACTGCCAAGAGATAGAGTTCCATTCGTTCAAAATTAAAAATTGCATCCGAACACAATCATAGAGCACAGATTTGGATCACCTCCAAATTTGAGATGAACACAGATCAGAGAATCACACAGTTCGAAACTCAGAAATGCAACACAAAAAAACCCCATAGAGCCATTGGTTCATAAGAGGTGGATGACCAAAGTCCATAAATGTTGATAGATGATCATGTATTACTACGATTACGATATTTTTTATTTTTTTGCTGCTACTTGACACTTGAATTTCCCGTACGGGGATCAACAAAGTATCTATCTATCTAAATGTTGTTAAATGTCCTGGATCATCACCACCAATGTCAGAGATGATCCTGGACTCTTAACCCTGACCCTGACCCAATGACACCTAATCCCTGGTCAAAACAAGTTAGGCATTGATCCTGGACTATTAATACCTTGACATTATCAGATCATGCCCATTGGGAAAGAGCCTTATGTTTGTTATGTACCACCACCACCCGTTTTCAGCCTACTGTACTCTTGTCTACGTATATAAAACTTATAACAGCACAATGTCTGCTACTGTACGCCGCTGCCGTTTCACAAACCGACACCGCACTCACTCCTTTCCCTGCGAACACAAATGAACTAATCAGGCAAACCCAGTGAAATGGGATTACAGGCAAGCTCTTTATATTCAGCATGGCCCTCTAACAGGATTATAACTGTGCATTGTAAAAGTATTAGACGGGTATCTGACAGCGCAGCCCCAGAGTCACAACTGTGCGGGGAGATTAGGATTAGGAGGTCCTCACTCCTCAATGTCAGAGCCCTCAGCGGATCCTATATCGCACGTCCATCTCACCAGTCAAAATCTGAGCAAAGAAAAGGAAGTATAATTGAATCCCATTTCTAACACTAATGGGTTTGGACTGCGCTGAGATGTGCTGAACAGGCAGACTGACAGTAGGACACGGGTTTGTAGTTTTTTTTTTCATGTTATTCAACTTTATGCAGCCTATTACACAGTTGTTCTCTGTCTTTGATTTGGTTAAGTATTGTCCTTGGCGTGGCTTTGGTCCTCGTTCTGTAGGTCCTGGATCAACAGCCCGTTGGCCCGTGAGGAACGGAACCCACTCTCGTTGTGGAGCTTCCTGGGGTTTCTCACTTTTTCCCACTGGGTTTTAGAGTTTCGCCTTGCCGATGCAGGAGGGTCTGTCAGAGTTTTAGTGGTTCTAACTAAAAAGGACCGTGGTGATGATCCAGGACACACAACATATATCGGACATTGGTCATCTGTCTCTTATGGACCACTGCCTCTGTGTTTTTTATCATTGGATTTCTTGTGTTTGAACTGTTGATTCCCTGATCTGTGTTGGCAAATTCAACGGTTTCATTAAGTCCTCCGAGATCACTTCTGTTGTGATTTAGGGCCGTTCAAGTAAATGTTGAATTGAAGTGATTTGAAATAGTCTTTGGGAAGTTCAGACCAATGCGTTGAGTTCTACGTAGGTTGTATATGGATGGATAATGAAGACCCACCACCTCAATGAAGCTTTGGTCCAACTCCCTATTTATTCCATTCATAACCTTTGTTTATTTATTTCAAAAATGCATGAGATACCCACTAAGCAAGCCGACGTTGAATCAACGTCATTTCAACGTCGACTATAGAATATAGGTCACTGGTGGGTGTAGAATGAAAGTTTTCTCGACGTCGTTTCCCGACGTCACCTCAACCTCCAAATGTTACGTTGATGGCACGTCAATTCAAGGTTTGAATGTGGTACGAAACCGGTCGGGTCTGACGTCCTATCAACGTCTCATATGACCAAAATATTGACGTTTATATGACGTTCGTTTTCAGTCGTTCCCACTAAGCAAGCAGATGTCAAAACAACGTAATTTCAACGTCATCTGGACGTTCATTCAAGGTTGCAATGTGGTACAGAACCGGTCGGGTCCGACGTCCTATCAACGTCTTATATGACCAAAATATTGACGTTCATATGACGTTCGTTTTCCGTTGTTCCCACTAAGCAAGCAGATGTCAAAACAACGTCATTTCAACGTCATCTGGACGTTATCTGGACGTTCAAATGACGTTGAGGCCATGTTCATTCAAGGTTGCAATGTGGTACAGAACCGGTCGGGTCCGACGTCCTCTCAACGTCTTATATGACCAAAATATTGACGTTTATATGACGTCCATTTACAGTCCTATTGACCTACTTAACCTCTGCAGAATCACTTACTAGTCGAGACATACTTTTTGCAATAGGCAAGGCAAGTTTATTTGTATAGTACAGTCAAAACAAAAGGAAACTCAAAGCACTGAACAAAAGATAGAAACAATCAAACAAGGCATTAAAATTATAAATATTGACAGTAAATTAAAAAGATACAAATAAAATCTCTCATAAAATCTCTCAGTTGAAGCAGAAGCAGAAACAGAAGTGTTTTAAACCTGGATTTTAACATTGTCAAAGAAGAAGCCTGTCTCACATTTCCAGGAAGACCGTTCCAGATTTTAGCCTTGTGAATCTGAAATGCAGCTTTATCATGTTTAGTTCTGACTTTGGGCAATAAACGATAAACACAGCATTCAAAAATCATTAGAACAACTGTAGTAGAAGGATATCAGTCATTATTGCAAATGGAGCTGCATTAAAAATCATGTTTCTCTACATCAAAGTACAAGTTAAACCACACAGTGCACAGTGTTATGAACACTACCGTACTGAACAGTTCATGCCAAAGTAAAAAAACATGATTGTGGCGCCTATGTTTGGATCAGTATTAAAACAGGCACAAGCTACACTCTAGGTTCCCCAGATGTAAAAACACAATCTGAAAGGCAGAAGAATGCATTTATTGAATGTTGATGTTCCAACATGTGCCCTCTCTTGGTCTTCAGTCTCTCATCACAAGGTCCAAGCACAGCACCTGAAAATGTGGAACATGTTTAGTTTCAACATAATGTGGCAAAGTGATATAACAACACATAACTTTCTATTAATGCCTCAAACCACTCGATCCATCACCATGTGATACAAACCTTGGCACTGCACTAGCTCGAGACACTGGAAGACACTCCGTCTGAGAAACTTGGGATAAGGCTTTGGTCATTGGAGTAATTCCATGTAAAAAACAATTGCAAATGTGCATTTGTTTTGCACATGGACACAAATGAGCCCTGAAAGCTACTTACCCTGTATTACTCTACACATGTTGCATTTCCGAGGGGGCATGTTCCCTTTGTTGCTCTTTTCCCTCATCTTGAGTGAGTTGCTGAACAACCTGAGAAAAAGATAGATGTCTTCAAAGAGAATACACCAAATAATGGTTTATTCTAAAAACAACATAATAATACAGAAGAACAATCAATATGTGAGAGTGTGATTCTTACCTTTGAACACCTTCAACACAGTCTGACACCTGTAAGACTCAAACACACATGACACATTAGGAATACACATAGAACATTAGTTATTGCAACAATCATGAAATTATACTCTATGGATTTCACAATAATTGACTGCATTAGCAAAGGTACATGTATTTTAATTAATATATGGCTGAATTTAAAGTTTATAAGAAAAAGTAAGAAATTGAAAAGAGTTGCAAGCGCTAGTTAGCTTGCTACCAGCAGATGAATGGATATTTAATATTTGCAGCTAACAATAACAAAAATAACAACTATAGTGGCTCATTTAAACAGCCACAGTGAGAAGAAGTGAAAGTCTCTGACATTGAAGACCTGGGAAGACATTAAATCCATTTATTAAACAAAGCAATACATTAACATTAAACTCTCTTTCTGCAGCAGGTAACATCTGTGTGCTCCTATGGTCCCACATGGTCCCACATGGTCCCACACCTGAACTCAACTCCAACTGATGACATCACAGGTGTCTAAATGATGGGAGTGTCCCAAATATTAAAGCTGATCTCCCTGTTTTTAAACTTAGTTTACTAAGTACTGTTGTCTTTTTGCAGTTTATAAACCATTGTGAAATATACAGTAACTTCACATTTTAAAATTGAATTATTATTTTAAAACTCAAGAATCTTAACTTTTTTTAACACATAGTTTGTTGGACAGTCTAACCTAACAATTCTAATGTGTTAAAAATAGTTTGAAATATGAGAAACAATATCATATTTTAAACTTTAACTTAAAAACTAAAAAAAGGTGTCTCCCTTTCAGCTGAGCAGTGCCAGCCGTTATTATTATAGATTCATGCACTGGCAATTCAAAATTCAGATAATATACAAAATATACTTAACAAATTCCACGTATACGTGAGAAAACAACTTACTTTCTGTCTCCAACTCTTTTCAATGTGGAAATGATACATCTATATCTAAAAACTGTGTAGACTGTGTACTTACTTGAGAGGGTGATTCCAAGTAAATAAAGCAGGGCAGCGACAGAGGTACAGATTCAACGTCATATATCAACGTCTGGGAAGGCATTACGTCCAGATGCACACCTTACGTCGTTTAGACGTGGAAAACAGGCTCTCGACCGAGCGACTCACGTGTCAGGCTGTAACCTCGCATAAGTGTGCGTCGGTTGTTTAGGGTGTTATGTATTAATTTTTCACAGTAGTCAAAAGTAAATATCTGGTGGTGGTGTAGCGGTTGCGTAATGAGACTTCAGTCGCAACGACGTGGGATCAAATCCCCGTTGGAACATTTTTGTCTTTTCACTTTTTAGCGAACAATTTTTCTCTGTTTGGTTAAAAACGAATAAACACTCAACATAAGATTATGTAGTGGCTAATAATAAAACTTGTGAACCCATGCATTTGCATAAAATCAAGTGCTCACCCCTTATTTGCAAACTTGAGATTGTTAGCACAACAAATGCATACATTCACAAGTTTTATTATTAGCCACTACGTAATCCTATGTTGAGTGTTTATTAGTCTTTAACCAAACAGAAAAAAATTGTTCGCTAAAAACTGAAACAAATATGTAAAGATAATGATACACACACGTGGGCTCGAACTCACGTAACCAAGGCTGCATTCATTTGCTTAACCACTACACTACCGTCAGGTACACTGAGATTGCTTCACAGCCTATATATTGTATTGCTAGATCAAGACGTACTGCGTCGGTCGGCCGATGACCTGTTTTCGACGTCTAGGGGAGGTCGGGATTGAACGTCATATCCACGTATATGGGAGGTCATTGTTTTACGTCCAGATGCGCACCTTGCACAGACGTCGTTTGGACGTGAATAAAAGGTCACGACCGACCAACGTGATATTGACGTGATCTGGAGGTTGAGTGGACGTCGGATGTTTAGTGGGTACAAGCATTCATTGAAACATATGATAATAAGAGAAAACAAGAACAACTGTTGGTAGGCTGTTGCTACCCACGTCTTTTGGCTCCATATTCTCACCCTAGGAACCATTTTGAGATTGTTCTAATCAGTTTCTTTTCGCAGTCAGGCAAACACTAGCCTCCACTCCTTCTGTGTTGGAGATGACATATTTTCCTTCCGTTGCCTTGATAGAATTTTGTCAATATTCTTGTGCTTCTTATATGCCAGTTTTCGATGTGTTTGATTCAGTCTTGGTTTAGATGCAGCTCTGAGTCCTGGTGTGACCCGAGTATTTCAAAGCTAATCCTGGTTCGAACCTGTTTACTTCATATAGTTTATTCAAAGATTATGCGGCCCCTGTTGGGCTTCTTGCTATTTTCATTTTGACGCATCACTTTTCCAAAGTTGTTTTGGTTGGAGTTGATGGATGATGGAAATGTCATTGTTTAGACCTGGGTTTCTGGAACTCTTCACATCAAGTACCACCTAAGTAAATATTTGTCCCTGCACAGGCCACCAGACCCAGGAATAAATGCACTGAGACGATTCTTACACCACTTGCATTGAACACAAATATTATGCTTTTAATATGTGCCTTTAACAAGAACCGCCCCCTCTCCAGTTTTTGGAAAAAAACTCTCTGATCTTGTTTGATGAGCACCTATCACCAGAATGATCCATCCGGAAGTAGAAAATCCTACTATATACCTGTAATGTATAGAGAGTAGCCTCAAATGTCCTCTGAAGTGATTCATGCCTTGGCCTTGCATCGTATCTTCATCAACGGAGATACACAGAGTAAAACACTAAATGCATCTCCATGGTGAGAGACGACAACATTTGCATAATAATAATAAGTAAATTCTCAAACCTTGGCTCTGGCAGCGTCTTTGGTGGCTTCATCCATCCAGTCCAGCTCATTGAGACGCAGGTCCAATGAGTGCTTTATGTCCTCCACCAGCTCCTGTACCTAGAGACAGAGCATGAAGCATAAACAGACGGGCATGATCTGTTTTCTCGGCTTTCTTTAAACATGTCAAAGTGGCCATTGTTCCCAAGACTGGCTTCTATCAACTACAGTAAAACAGAAGAGGCAGTGTTGATGTAGTCCCAAAATCTGAGTTTCATTTTGTATACAGTTTTCTATAGCTTTCAACAGTGGTGTAATTGTTTTTTGTTATTATTTACCCACTCCAAGTTGTTCTTACTTGTGTGAACAAAACCACTATTCTTCATTTTCCTTTTCCCCATTTTGTGATACATAGATATTTTTGGCTCAAATGGTTATCAAATGTCATACTTTAGTTCCATGAACAAATAATGTGCAAAATTCATCTGGGTAATCTCGATACATGGGGCTTTTCAAATATATTTCTAAACAGTAAGATCCAATCCAATTTTACCTCACATTTCCTCTGATTTTAACAATAAACTACTGATGCTTTTACATGTAATTTATAATTGTTATTATACTGTATAGCGATAGGAGTTTTTTTTTTTTTTTTATCAGGAAAAATCTAGATAAAAATCAATATGGAATCCTAGTTTAAAGATGCCTTCCCCCTGAACACAGCCGATGCGAGGCTGCTCCACAAACAGACGGATCAAGTGTCTGGAGGCCTGAGGTTTATTCGGTTTGTAAAAGGTTAATGGGCTGGAATCACTCAAGACTTTCTGCTTTTATTGCTACTAAATGTGCTTTATATTGTACCATAAAGGCCTACTGTGCTGAGGCCTGGTTAGTGAACGTTACCACTCTGACCTTTCAGCTGTTTACTAGAAGCAGCCAATTTAGGAAATTTGCTATTGATTACCGCAGTTTTTATGGAATTTCCTTATTTAGTTGGGATGGTGTTTGGTTTAAGAATGAATGTACTGAACATGAATGTGAATATTATCTATTGAAAATAAAAAGTTGAATGAAGAATATTTTTGCTATTTGGCCTTTCATTCCAAAATACAAACAATGAATGAGGAGAAACAAGCTTACGAGTTAGAACAGTAAGCCTATGAAATAGTTCATATTTTTTCATCTCCTTGAAGTCTATTCATTATAGGAAGGCCATCCACTGCAGGGAACCAACAGCTTGACGTACAGTATTTACAATTTATCAAACATGATCCATCACTGGTTTAAATAATCATCTCCTGAAAGCGTATTGAACGAGATGTGATACGGATCCGTGTCCCAAAAGAAGTCTGTAATTCTGTGAAGCTGCGGTCAACTAAGGACCAATCAGATCGCTGCGATGGGAAAGAGGTTTATAAACACCCTAGAGCAGGGCTGTTGGACTGGTTTCAGTAAGGTCTGGTGCAGGTTTTCATTCCAACTTAGCAAGAAAACAGCAGACTCCACCCATTTTCTTAAGTCTTCAGGTTCAGACTTGACTCATTTGAGGAAATGAGTGGAGTCTGCTGTGCTCCTGCTTGGTTTGTATGGAAACCTGCAACCACACTTTGAGGACTAGTTTGACTTGAGAAAAGTGAATGCAAACTAAATCGTTTTTTTACATTGGGTAAAGTAGCCCCCTCTTGTGGTGGCCGATAGTTATAAATGCCCTGGGCATGCATGAGCACGCAACCATGTATGGGAGGAGGCATGAGGGTGCTGCTCTCCCGTGTTCACAAAGTTTCTGACCAGTGCAATGATTGTTACATATGATAAAGATCCTCTAAAGACACCCCCATGTCTTCATTAACGTCCATGAATAACACAACCGGGTCAACTGTGCAACCAAGCTATAGACGGTCCAGCACGGTCACATAAATCCTATTCCATCCTCACTTCACTTCACCTTCCCAGTGTTTTTTGGCACACACGCATAGATAGTTTGGCTTCTTCCTGCTCTGCTCTCAACTCCTCGGCTCTGTGTTCTTCCATTAGAGGCGTTCCTCCCACTTAAAACAACAGGACGTGAGTGGTAATGGCTCGGATGGAAGTGTCTCCTGTCTGTCAGAGCCTCGTTAGACCGTCTTCACGCTGAGGACACACTGATCCGACCCGCCCGCCCCCCTCCTCCGCCCCGCACTGACAACTATACCGAGCTCCGCAATGAATATCAATACTACAGCACACTACCAGGACTTGGACTGGTGTATTTGAGGGTATTTGAGTCACGACAAAATGATACAAGTATAAATGATGAGGTTTAATAATGATGTGATGGCTTTATTTGTCAAACTTGTCAGATTGAAACTTGGGAGAATGATTGTGGAGAGTTACGGCCACTTATCTACACAATCAATCAACTTTTGGTGAATAAAACAAGGAAATATATTGGGATGCTGTGCTTGCATGTGTCTCCCCCCATGCCTGGGTGTATGGGATTCAGTTGTTCACGCCCACTTCCATCAGAATCAGAATCAAAAGGGGAATTCTTTTTATTGCCATTTTAAGTGACAGGAAAAATGAGGAAGTCTTGCACAAAATTACAAACTAAAAGTCTTAACTGACACAAGTAAACTTTTATCGGTAGTTTACAACATAGATATTTAGAATAATAAACATAAACATCTGCAATTTGATCTTGCAACAGAGGCAAGGAAGTTAAAGACACAACCCTAACCCTAACCCTAACTCCAGTTCTAATCAATTTAAAACAAATAAATTAGTCAATATTAAAGCTGGAGTACCTCAAACCCAAAACACAACATATTATTAGTATTAGTATTATTATGTAATTAATTGTCAGCTTTCAAAACAGTTTGGTTCTATCACTAGTCTTCAGAAGAATGTATTTTTGGCCTCAGATTTTTTAGACAGAAAGAGAGGACCAGCCCTAGCCCTCACTCCGCAAATTAGCTGTCTGTATGTAAAAGATAAATATGTTCTTATACAACGAAGGTTTGCCTTTACATACAACTCAGTTTCAAATACATCTTTAATTTGTAAGTAAGTCCTTAGCTTTGGCTTTGCCATGATCCCAGTCAACCATTTGTGTTCAAAGTTTGACATTAAAATTGATCTGATGGTTTTAACACTACAGGACAAATTATTCTGGAATACATACTGGAGTTGTGCATCAGCAAAGACAGTCCGGAGCTCTGCAGCCCAAGGACATATCTCATTGAGTATTTTGACACCAATACCTGGATATAATATTGCATAGACCTCATATAAAAAGGCTCACCTTGTAGGAATATTACACAATGATCATGAAACAATTGTCTGAGATCGCTGCGATGTTAGAAAAGGGCAAGCCGGCGACAGAGGCCACGTACAGGTGAAGCTTCCCATTGTAAACTATATCCCCTGGCCCTCCCCTTTGAAATGAAGAAGATCCCTCTGTCCCAGTGTGAAATAAAGGAGGATTACTCTGAGCGGAGACCAGCGAGTGCAGGAGATGACAGGCCAGAGGTCAGGATTAACGCTCAGAACCTCCCACACTTTTGTCATCAACTTTTGGAATCACCACGGAGAAATTCAGACCCATTCACTGTAAAAGTCTGGGTTAAAACTACTGAAATTATGTGCTTCTGTCTACGCTGCAAAAGTGGTGAAATATGAGGTAATAATTGCTTAAGTCTAATTTTTTTTTTTCATAATTTGAGTTCATTCTGAGTGTCTTAAAACAGGATTTGGGACGAAGTAATTTAGACTTTTTTCAAGACTGTTGCTTTTTTTTCTAGTTCTAAGATAGACATTTCTCTCTTTTGAAAAACAAGATAATTTTACTCATCCATTTGAAAAATGTTGTTTTAACGCAGTCAGAATGTGCTTGAAATAAGATACAGTTTTCTAAATTTGAGCAATTTTTGACTTCATTTTCATCACTTTTTGCAGAGATTCTGTATTTGATAAATAATCATTTCATAAAACACAATGCTTCTAATTTTCACACGCCTGTTTTTTTGGCCTCTGTCACATCTTTAGATCAACTTTTTCACAGAGAAACAGCCCTCACTCCCTCATCAGTTCTCAGTATGTGGAAGATAAAATGTCTTCTACAGAATATAAAGATAGCGTACATATTTTTTATCTAACCTTTATTTAACCAGGAAAGTCCCATTGAGATTATCCATCCATCCATCCATCCATTTTCTACCCTTTAATCCATTTCTGGGTCAGGGGGGTGGCAGTCAGAGATGCCACCCAAGTCTCATAGCACCAGCCCCTCACTGACCCTCTGCAGGTGGTGAGTCCACAGGAGGACGGCTGCTCTCTGAGTGTGAGCATAGCCTTGATCTTTCAGTGGGGGCTGTGGGCAAAGTGGGGTTAAGTGTCTTGCCCAAGGACACAACGACAGCAGTCATCAGTGGGAGTTCATTGAGATTAAGAACCTCTTTTTCACGGGAGTCCTGGACAAAAGTTACATATAGCTACAAACAATTATAGATTATAAAAAACTATATTTCATAAAATTACGTTGTCAATCTGAATCTAATAGCATTCAATAAAATAAGAGATAATTTCCAGCCTTTTTGCAACAAGTTCCATTAGAAGGAGCAGCGTATACAAAAGCTTTTTTTCCCAGTTCTGTGCAGGCAAATGTGATATTAGATGAGAATGCAGCTCCATATCAGACAATGCACAATAGTTGTGCTGTGGCGAGGGCTCATGAAATAACTGTTTTCTATAGGGCCCTCAAAAGGCTTGGGGCCAGCACTGGTGGACAGTAAAGTTTACAATGCACACATGAAAACCCCGGACTCTTCCTTCCATGTCTGTCCCATAGCATCGGTGTCTGCTCTTACCTTGGCTTTGCTCTGGGAGGAGAAGTGCTGCTGGACAAAGAGCGCTCCCAGGGCCATGCCGAAGTGTTTGTTGGCCTGAGTGAGGCAGAGGCGGCCGAGCTCCAGCTGCTGCTCCGTGCCGTCGATCTCCCGCGAAAACTCGTGGATGGTGCTTCTGAAGGCTGTGGACAAGTGCTCGCTCAGGGCCGCCACGATGCGCCACAGCATGTAGTTGTGGAGCACCCTGCGAAGACAACACATACACACAAACAATTCAATTCCATTTATTCTTGTTTAGTCCTAAATCAAAACAGCCCTCCAACCACTAACATGTAGTAGTAGTAGTTTATTTTCTTCAGCCAAATGTACACCAGCTCTGAGGTCACATGTTTTCAGTGATCACATACACATTTTACAACAAGAAAAAAAAGAACCTTAGTGCGAAACAATGCCTGACCGAAAGGAGTTTAGGCTGATGTCGAGACTTATCCTGCCGGGTCCTGTGACAATACGTCCAAAGATGACAAATTATACAGTTTCTCATATACCAACAATGGTAATATGTAGCACAAAACTTAAACTTCGTCAATCCAAATTATGGTATGCATAATTAACATTTAACATCATTCAACCTACACTGGAAAAAATGTTAAAATATGAGGTAATGAAGTGCTTTTTTTCTTAATTTGAGGACATTCTGATTGTCTTAAAACAAGATTTGCCTATGGGACAAAGCTATTTAGTTGTATTTCAAGAGCTATTGCTTTATTTTCTCATTTCAAACATTTCCTGTACATTTTTAAAACAAGATCATTTTGCTTTGTCCTATTGGCAAATCTTGTTCTAAGGCAGTCAAAATGAGCTCAAATTAAGAGTGATATTGCCCAATTTGAGCAATCTTTGACTTGTTTTGCATCACTTTTTGCTGTGTTTCACCCGATGTATAATGTGGCTTGGTTTGGGTGGTGGGGGAAATCGGGGCGCCAGGAGGAAACCCAGCCAGACATGGGGAGCAACCTACAAACCTTCTTGCTGTGCGGCATGAGAGCTAACCACTAAGTACCCTGATTGTCACAAAAGACAATGCAAGATTTGATCGTACCACAGAACAAGTTAGAATGATGCTTCTACCTCAAGTCAAAAACCAGAAAACATTATCTTCCAGTGGGTAAAGAAGACACAACAACACAGGGGAAAAAGATTGTACATTCTTTGACAGGTGATTGTTGATCAAGACGCAGCTGTAGCAGGTTGTGATTGACAATAACAGACAAATGATAAGCAAGAATGATGTAGGGAAGAAACACTGCTTTAGTTCTTCAGTATTTATTCCAAAAAACTGTGTTCAAACTTGGGTCCTTGCCCTTTGGTGGCCTTCCTACTCAGTCAAACTTTGAGTGAAAAATAGTCTTGTGACAGAGACGGACACACACACACACACACACACACACACACACACTCTTTCTCCTTTGAATCCGGATACGAACCCCACGAAGCCGACAGATTTCCTCTCTTATCACCCTGCTGAGCGGCGCTATGACAAACCTGCTGCAGTCCTGTCCCACCACTGCGCCCACTCTTCAATTTAACCCCAAGGGGAGAACCAAAATGCTCCCGTGTCCCACTGAGCAGCTCCCACCAAACACCTCAGGCGAAAAGCGGCGGTGGGCTGGTGTTGTTTTGCGTTTTGTTTGTGCATGACGGATATTAAATAGAAAAAAAAAAAAAGCTCTTGGCAACAGCTCCCCGCCTGCCAACAAAGCACTCGTGAGGTGGACTTAATTGATGTGAAATGAAAAGGTTCAAAGAGGCTGTGGAGGTAAATGAGAGAACGTGAGGCCATCTTTGTGTGGTCTAATGAACACGGATTAGCTGCACTGCTTCATTAGCTGTTGTCGGGTGTGTTCAGCAGAGTTGGAAAGTAACTATTTTTACTTACAGGTGAGGTATCGCATTTTTAATGGGTACATATTAGTTAGTAAGTGAGTAATTGTAATTTATATAGCGTTTCTCACAGACCAGAGTCACAAAGAAAGCTTTACAATTGTTATTTTTGGGCATTTGTCTCTCCCTCCACACAGAGACAGGAAGTGAGGTCGCCAGTACAGGAGGCGCATGTCAGACCTATTGTACATGTTTTTAATGGTAGGGGAAACCGGAGCACCCGGAGGAAACCTACACAGATACGGGGAGAACATGCAAACTCCACTCAGAAAGGTCCTGTTCCGACCGGGATTCGAACCCAGCCCAATATAGTACAGTTATTGGTCTTTTATTGTCTTCATACTGTCCTGTAACTTACATATTATGCAACTTTGTAGAGCTTTTAACCCTTGTGCTATCCTTGGGTCAAAATGAACTGCCACAGTGATTAAAAAATACCCCAAAAATTTTTTGTTTGAGCTGAATTTTGATGATTTGGACCCTGTTTTAGAGAGACATCAGCCACCCCAAAGCATCAAAAGTGACTTGCAAAGTGCTTTCTCAGAGGTTAGACAACAGTAGCGTCTCAGTTCAGCAAAGTTTAGCATAACTGTTGCATTTTGCTGCTAAACATTTGTATTGCCACGTTCTTTGCATAAAATATTTCTACAATGGTGAAAGGACTGTGTATTTTTCAGGCAATACAAACACAACACAAATGTCATCAATATTGTCTATTACTTTCTAACTTGAGTACATATACAGTACGTGCATGTACTTGGGAATATCTTCAATACTTTGCATGTTTTTCTGAGTTGTTATGCAAGTATTTTCTCCTTCTTTTGCAGTGCGTGCGTGAATGTGGATCTGGGCATCTGGGTTCACTTCCTCTCCCTCAGAAAGAGTCCATTTGAGCCCAAACTGTGCCTGCGATGAGATCTGGTTCTCTCGATGTGAAAGTAATTTATATGATAATCGTAAGACTAAAATATTTGGAGGTGAGCGTTGCTTTTGTGAAGTATTCTTGGAGGAAAGTGATAAATATATTTTCAAAAATGCAGATGGAAGATAGACTCTTTATAAAAATGGAATTAACTTGTTAAAATCTTTGTATTGTGGTCTCTGGCTTTTGGTAGACAGTGCTTAAAACGGTGGAATGTACAGGTATGTTGTAATAGGAATAGTTCCCAAAATTGGTTCTCTTGATTCTATACTTCACAACCGGCCTTTATGAACGTAACAATCTTTCAAAACGAAGGTTATTCACTCCTACTTCTGTAATAATTGCCTCGAGACAGACCGATGGAAACATGGCAACGGAAAAAATGGTGACAACAGCTTCTCTGAGTTGATAAGGAGTTTGCTCGACGAGCCAGAACCACAAACAATATTACAATATACAATGTTTTCAAATATTTCTGCCTCAAGCTGTTGATTTCATGGACCGTGTTTGGAGGTATTTGATCTGACCGCTAAAGAAACAATCAGAGAAAAGTGGAAGAAAAAGCAAAACAATTTTTGGTCACACATTTACAGATATATTTCAGGTCATTTGCTGCATTAACTGCACTGAACGGTACTATACGGCGAGCGCCATCTTGGATATTTGTGCAAAAAGAGTTTTCAGTTCTGTGATTTGTGATTGGACCAATGTCTCAATTTCACTCTCTATCCCAGAATCTTCAGCATTTGAACACATCTCGGACCTGGCGACTTAAGCGAATATGGCATTGGACTAGTACTGGATTTCAGTTTGAAAAAAAAAAGTGAATGAAAATGGCCCATGATATGTTGTAATGTATTAATGCAATCAAGACAGCACAGGCCTAAGAATCAAAATTGACAAATACAGAAATGAATGAAATTTTGAAAGATGTTCTTATTTTCCAGGTTCCACCTGTATCATACACAAAAGCTACTACTACGCTACCATTTCTCAAGCTGCTGGATGGGCACAAAGTCAACTAAAGTTGGATCAAACACCAAAATGCGTTGAGAACTTTCCTGCTTCTATCTGCTCTCCTTCCGTATCCTTTTGATTTAAAGTAGCAGCAGCATCAGTGAAGTCAGAAGCAGCTTGTAGCGACCCGTGGCGTTAATCACAGAGGCTCTGAGTGAAGGCTCGTTAGCTGAATGGATTTTAATGGCTTTTAATGGGGCTGGATAGGCAGATGAAAAGACACTGTCCCTTTGCACCGGGCCCACGCATTAGTCCAGGTAATGACCCCGAGGTAATGGACAGAACCAAAACTCCACATCAAACTCACAGCAAAAAAAAATTAAAATAATTTCCTAACATTAACATCTGCTGCTTTCGACCGCGCCACCCAGAGTCTGACGGTCACGGTTCAATTATCGCGTCCATGAGAGGGTTCAGACGTAATGAGGATCTGGATCATTTTAAGAAGAGTTTACTGATGGATCAATTCAAGTTTGTGGTGAGTTCTGAGTGAAATGAAGAGGAGCACTGATAACAACATCATTTGACTTAAGCCAATGAGGTGACGGGGGAAGAGGGAGTCACTTGAAAATATATCTTTAAAATGTTTGACACAAAAATCTGCCAAAAATAAACCATGTCACATTGTTTCCTTATTAAAAAAAGTTGATAACTTGCAGTTTTAGCTCCATCCAGACTAAAGCAAACTATGGGACGCATTACCATACCACAAATTAAGGACATTTCAGAATTAAAAACAATGTTCTCCTCCAAGATAAAAGCTATCGGTACCTAACTTTAAGACCATAAAACATGATTAAAGTCCATCCTAGCTCTCTTTACAGTTTTATCCTATATCACTGATTGTAACATAGCTCTTTCACATCTTCAATTAAGATTTATTCAGACGGAAAAGCAAAAAAAGACAGGACCATCCACAATCTGCTCTGAGCCCAAAGAGTCAAGTACAGACTCCCAGATCTCTTTCATACAAATATAAAAAAAGTCTTATAAGTAATAGCATATTGGCTGAGTGAGGGTGGACCTCCTTTTTCACTTTTCTGTCTGAAAAAGCTGATTTTCGTATGTGACAGAGAACATACATGCATGAACAAAACTGTTTTAGGAGTTTTTTTAGGGGAGTGAATAAATGATTGCATATGAATTTCACTTTGAAGGGTTCTCCAAACTGCAGCAGGATTCATGTTTAACTAAGTAAGTACATGATTAGATATTACTGAGCTGCCTATTTGCAAAAAGGGCAAAACATTCAGTTCAATTAAACTGTTTTTTTGTTTTTTTTTATATCTATAAATGACAACAGCAGCCGACTCAGAGGACTTTGGATCAAACAGTTCAATGCAATAATAACAAACACATATCAGTCATTGGTCCATAGGAAGTGGGAAAACCAAAATCCATTAATGTTAATAAATGTTAATATATGTCCCAGATCATCACTGTCCCACTAAACATCCGACGTCCACTCAACCTCCAGATCACGTCAAAATCGCGTCGGTCGGTCGTGACCTTTTATTTACGTCCAAACGACGTCTGTGCAAGGTGCGCATCTGGACGTAAAACAATGACCTCCCATATACGTGGATATGACGTTCAATCCCGACCTCCCCTAGACGTCAAAAACAGGTCATCGGCCGACCGACGCAGTACGTCTTGATCTAGCAATACAATATATAGGCTGTGAAGCAGTGAAAGTGTACCTGACGGTAGTGTAATGGTTAAGCAAATGAATGCAGCCTTGGTTACGTGGGTTCGAGCCCATGTGTGTGTATTATTATCTTTACATATTTGTTTTGATTTTTAACGAACAATTTTTTTCTGTTTGGTTAAAGACTAATAAACACTCAACATAGGATTACGTAGTGGCTAATAATAAAACTTGTGAATGTATGCATTTGTTGTGCTAACAATCTCAAGTTTGCAAATAAGGGGTGAGCACTTGAGATTTTATGCAAATGCATGGGTTCACAAGTTTTATTATTAGCCACTACATAATCTTATGTTGAGTGTTTATTCGTTTTTAACCAAACAGAAATATTGTTCGCTAAAAATTGAAAAGTCAAAAGTTTTCCGACGGGGATTTGAATCTGTGTCGTTGCGACTGAAGTCTCGTTACGCAACCGCTACACCACGGCCAGGCATTTTTCTGGAAGCTGTGAAAAAATAATACATAACACCCTAAACAACCGACGCATACTTATGCGAGGTTGCAGCCTGAAGGGCTCGACACACGGGAGGCGACAAATGAGAGCGATCAGCGAAACTCAACGCTGTCGCTCAGATAACATGACAGACGGGGCGCGATGCGGCTTGACGACAGCGTCGAAAAGTTGAGCCGATTTCAACTTTCTGGGATCGCGTCGCTGACCTGCGCGTGCACGATACATGCACGAGCGGGAGGATTTCACACGCACGTTTTTCGCCCGTCGCTGAGCAGGAGGCTCGCTAGCGATTGACGCTATGTCGCGCACGTCCCATTGAAATGAATGGAGGCGATGCGATGTCGCCTCCCGTGTGTCTAGCCCATGACACGTGAGTCGCTCGGTCGAGGACCTGTTTTCCACGTCTAAACGACGTATGGTGTGCATCTGGACGTAAAGCAATGCCTTCCCAGACGTTGATATGACGTTGAATCTGTACCTCTGTCGCTGCCCTGCTTTATTTACTTGGAATCACCCTCTCTACTAAGTACACAGTCTGCACAGTTTTTAGATATAGATGTATCATTTCCACATTGAAAAGAGTTGGAGACAGAAAGTAAGTTGTTTTCTCACGTATACGTGGATTTTGTTAAGTATATTTTGTATATTATCTGT